TAACTTAGGTGTCACGTTTTAAATAGAAAGTGATATGTAAATTGGTGCGAATAATCCCAGCCAATAGAAACTTGGGGAGGAAATTAGTAAATGCCCTAGTGAGGCCATGAAAGATCGACAATATGCACCAATCAGATGATCTGCACTAATTAAACAATCGAATTTTTAAAGTAATAAAAACCTGTTAGGGTTGGGTTGTGACTGAAATTAGGGCTTATACTAAAATTTTACGGAGAATTTTTTTTGTTAGTGTCCAGTAGGTGGTTTCGTAGAGAGTCGATTGTTAGAAAAGATCCGATCGGTGCATCTGCGACGATCTTTCATGGTCCTACTTGGGTAACTTTCATCTTCAATCCGATATCCAAAATTCATAGCTATGAGCCAAACTAATGCACAAATTAAATAATGAACATACAGTCAACTCTTTCTATAACGAACTAACGGTTCTGGAAGGAAAAAAATGTTCGTTATAGAAAATTACTATGTTTTCATAAGAACCCATGGCGACTTTCTATACCGAACTACTATGGAATTTTAAATTTTTGGGTTCGTTATATCCAGAATTCGTTATATGGAGGTTCGTGATATCCAGGGTCGACTGTACTTCATATTATTGTATATTGTATTAATGAGGTTTTAATTCATTCAAATTATTTAATTCTCTGACAGATTTAATACTTCACAATTTGACTAATTTCTGAACTTAAAAAAAATATTAATACATTCATGATTCAAGATACATTAAATGATATTAATAATTAAGACGATGAATAGTGTGTATTTTTAATAATATCACTAACCCTATTGTACTAGAATGCCTTGAGTAAATAAACGATTCTTAGATATTTTAAAGATTCATAAAATTGAATCTAGGGGAATTTCAAGAAAGGTAAATTGCAATTATTTGTGCTTAATATGAATGCAATTGATTTATCGTTGTACCTTGTGATCTTGATACGCTATATCGATATGGTTCAAGTTGTTATAATTACTGCAAAAGTCTTGATTAAAAAACAAAAGGAATCGTGCTACATTATTGCGTAAATCAATTTCTTTTTGAAATTTGGTAAAAGAATAAAGTTTGATTTTTGGTATCACGGAAAAGATTACATACATACTAAGATTTATTATGCAAGATTTCCTTATTAATAGTAGTTGCCTAACAAAAAGTAGCTTGTTTAATAGCGTTTCATAATAAGATATCGGTTCATCTAAAAATTTTTTTATTATTCATCCAAATCCAATTTATAATGGTTTTTAAAAAATTCGATCATCCTATTCCATTCGTCGAAATTAATCAAATACCGGGAGAAAAAACCCATGAAGGAATATTTAGCATTATCGAGAAGTGGAAATATAGAGAAATTATTGTTGCAGGTACTGTATTTTCATTCTTATATGCAAAAAGAAACAACAACATATCGTATTAATGAATCACTTTTTCTGTAGTCAAAATATCGGCAATAAACGTAAAGAAATATCAGTTGATGAAATTAGAAAACATAATAATCTTTACTGTGACAATGTGATCAATTTTCATGGAATAACAGTGTTTCCAGATGAAACTAAATGTTTGATAATGAATTACGAAGCAAATGGAAATCTACATGATTATCTCGCAAACAATCAACTTAAATGGGACCCAAAGTTAAAAATGTCTAGTGATATCGCAGCAGGATTGTTACATTGTCATGATCATGAAATTATACATTTGAATATAAATTCTAAAAATATTTTAGTAGACAAAAACTTCGAATTGAAGATTGCAGGTTTCGGCTATCTCACAAACGGAGAATCTGGTAATATAGGCGAATTAAAGATTTAAAAATATTGTTAACTTATATAATTCCTAATCTAATTTTACATACATATTAGAAACTACACGATGGGCTGTGCCAGAGGATTCAGAAATGAAAACACGCATATTAAATACTGTAAGATGGGCTGCGCCAGAAATATTTTCTAAGGATCCAGTAATGAAGAAACATTATAAAGAAAATCCGAAACTTTCAGGTATATTTAAAAATTAATGAAATTTTACGATAAATATTATTTCTATATTTGCTATTAGTAAATCTTTTTATTCGCAGATATTTATAGTTATGGATTGGTTGTGTGGGAAATTGCAATGAATGGCATAGAGTATGTTTGTTCATATGAAATATATACTCCATATGAAATGTAATTAGATTATTAATAGTATGATTCTTTTGTAACAGGCCATATCGTGATATGGAAATTGATGAAATAAAAGATTCTAAGGTTTCTGGCAATATTAGTGACAAACTTGAAATAGGTACACCGGGCCGCTTAAAAAGAATAATAAAAGAATGCTGCTATTTAAATCCCTCCAAGAGGCCAACTTTAGCAAAGGTTGGAATTGAACTAAAAAGTTTGTACCGCGAAAAATCCCAGGAAAACCTTCAACATGATCCAAAAAATCTAACATTATTTTACTTCAAGGAGGAAATGTATGATAAACTGATACAGCATTTAAATAAATTATTAGAAGATAATGACCGCGATGTATTTGCGTTAAAGTATCGTGGCGCAGCTTATTACTATTTGGGAAAATACGAAGAATCCATGTCGGATTTAAATAATGCATGGCTCTTTGGACCAGAGGATCCATTTGTCCTAAAATACCGTGGTGCAGCTTATCGAGCAATGCATGGATATGAGCAATCGCTTGAATTCTTAAACAGATCACTAAACATCGAATCACAAGATCTATTCGCCATGGGAGAGCGTGTCGCAGCTAATTATCTTTTGGGCAAATATGAGGAATCATTTGCTGATTTAGATAAATTATTGAAAATTGATCCAAATAATATACTTGCAATAAACTATTTAAGAAAATTTTATCCTGATCGTAAAGAAGAGTTAGTGGATGATAAAGAATTTGCAAATTCATTGAGACAACATGGAAAATCGTTTTACTCTATGGAACAATATAAAGAATCATTCACATGTTTTGACACTTCACTAGATATCGAACCAAAAAATGTATTCGCTTTATCATATCGTGGTTCTATTTATCGATTGTTCTTTAAGAAACTTGAAAAGGCACTTGCGGATTTAAAGGAAGCATTAAAAATTGATCCGAAATATGAATTTGCATTGAATGAATATGAAGAAACTTCTAAAATAATACGCAAGAATGATATCATGATGACCGTGAATGAAGTTATAAAAATAGATAAAAAATGGCATTCAATTCTGGCGAAAAATTGCCTTTAATTGAACCTCACCATTACGTTAAACTTTCAAAAATTATTTCACCACCAAAATTATCATCCGATAAAATTCATGAAAATGTGGCCGCAGTCTTTCCGTATATTCGGCAGAAAGTTAAAATGTGGGGTGTTGATATTCTTAAAGCAGAAAACTTTAATAAAAGTTTAATTGATTACTGTGAAAAGGATGAGGAATCTACCGACGATGAATCAAACGGTAAAAACCAAAGTAACAGATTATCTCGGTTTGATTGCATTGCTACTTTATTTGCCTCAGCTGAATGTACTGTAGTTCAAGATATCTTTCGAACTATATCTCAATTTCCAATTGCATTTCCTTTATTGATACCCGAATTGAATAAAGCGGAAAAGTATAAAACGATGTTTCCTTTATTTACAGGACCAGTTATCAAATGGGAAACAAGTAATGGAACATTAGTAGAAAATCACCTTTTTGAAGATCCCTTTAAAATGATTGTTGTAGTTCGAATTGGATCGAGTCACAAAGGCAAAAGTACTATAATTAATCAGTTAATGAATTCAAACTATATGTTCACTTCGTGTAATGAGCCAGGAGCGGAATATGGAATTCCACATATGGTCAGCGGAAGTATTGAATTCGTTTGCTTAACCGAAGAAACTTGTGGAAGTGGCTTATGGAACAATGTTTTTAAAAATTATTATGAAAAAGAAGAAAAGAAGATCGTGTTGCTCGCAAATTTACATGGTGATGCCTTAAATTATCCTGATCAGATAGAATTTCTAAAACAATTTCCATCCTGCTTCTTGATTTTCCTAATGCCTGGATACGATGAAACTCAAAAAGATAAATTCAAAAATTTAATCAGCCCGGATAAAACAATATATATCTATGTGGATCCTGACAACAAAGATAAAAATGAAAAGCACAAAATTTATACAAATAAATTGCTTCAATATAGAGAAATAAAAAAAGTTTATGAAATGTTCAAAGATATTTTAGCGTTAAATTTTGATGAATTCCCAATTGTTACTAATCAATTAAAAATGGGAAAAACACTTAAATTTGCTGGAAATATTGAGTTTCCTGAATCTAAATATGTAGTAGATTTTATTAAGGATAAAACTTGCTATCACATTAAGATGAATATTATGCAACTTCAAAAAAAACAATTTGAAGATGAGTCAAACAGCATAAAATTTTGGCAACAAACGATTGAGTTACAGGAATTAATTCGACTATTCGCCGGTATTTTAGATCTACCTCTCGATATGAGAAGACAAGCTTTAGCACATCTTGAAAGGGAAGTATCCAGGCTTTCTATGGAAGAGTCTTTAGAATCTCGTAATAACGTTATATTGAAAAGAAATGAATTAAATAATGCAGGCATTAAAATTGATCAAGAAAAGGATAAAGAAATTCGAAAAGAAATTACAAAACTTTTGGAAAAAGTTGATAACATAAGTTTGTGTATAGATCATTTTTTCCGTGAGTTAGGACTTGTTTATAAAATTATTATTTCTGATTCCGACAATGATCCAAAAATTATTTCCCCCAATGGTCCAACTAAAGAAAATGTTTTGAAATTACCTGAATATTGTGCTGAACTGCTAATTAGCGGTAATACTATTGAGTTACTTGGTGATTCTACAACCATAAATAAAGCTTGGTTCTCAGCCATTTGTAATTGCATCGATAAACGACTTCCTAAACTTAGAGTTTTTGTAATAAGCATACTCGGATTACAATCTTCTGGAAAGTCAACTCTTTTAAATGCACTTTTCGCATGCAAATTTCCAATTTCAGCTGAGCGCAGTACCAAAGACATATCTGATCAACTTGGCGTCAATGCTTTTATCTTGATTGACACGGAAGGACTTGGTGCATCCGAGAAAATGGGTGATGCAGAATCAGAAAAGAAGGATCGAATGTTAGCAACTTTTGCAATGGGAATAAGCAATTTAACGATTATTAATGTATTAGGAGAATCAATGAAAGAGCTGACTGAAATCCTGCAGATAGCAACTGTGACAGTGGCACGTCTTGAAAAAGTTGGTATGTCCCCTGATATGATTATGGTACAACATGTTTCAGAAAGAAATACGGCAAAATTAAATGAGTCAGTGCAAAAATTTCGTGATTCTCTTCAAGAAGCTTTGAAATTAATCGAAGAGAAAGATGGCGAGATGGTGTCACTTAACCCTGAGTGTCTTGACATTCTTGATGCAAGAATAAAAAGTGGAAAACTCCTCAAAATATTTTCTCCATTTAAAGATGGTACAACCCCTTACTCCCCACCATCGAAAAAATATCATGAAGATATTATTGATTTGTATAATTCTATAATTAATGATTGCGAAAAATCAAAAAGTAAAAAAAACTTTGCAGATTGGTACAAATTAACTATAAATTATTGGGATGCAGTATCGCAGGAATATTTCGTCAAGAATATCAATGAAATTTATAGATTTATTGAACTTAAGAAACTTGAGAAACGAGTCACCAATTTGAAAAAAACTTTTGACATGGCATTTTTTCAATATGGACAATCACATATATACGAAGGCCATATCACGGGTGACCATTTATTAAGAGCTATTCATAAAAAAGCAGTATTTAGCATTGCTTGGATAAACAACACCCAAACAATTAGACTTAAATATTTTATTGAACTTGCTGAACAAGTTCATAATGGTGACAAAGATAAAGGTGTTCAGCACTTTTTAAACCCGCGTGAAAGTATTGAAAAGTGGTTTAAAGATAAAGTTAATTTAGATACAAGAGATTATGGACAAAAATTTAAAGAAACTTATA